CTAAAATCACATCACCTCGACTGATCTCAGTTAAGTTTGGCATGTGAAGAGTTTCTATCGTTCCAGACACTAGTAAGCTATAACGTCCAGAACGTAAATTTCTCCCACGTATGAGTCTCAGGTTAGGCAGGGAGAGCCTTTCAATGGATGGTATATTGTTCAGTTCAAGATAGCCACTGATCTCTTTCACATAATAAAGGAATGAGAAATTAGCTTCCACTAGAGGCTGGCTAGCATCAACAAGACCAGAGCCTGTTCTAATAACTATATTGTCTTGAATGTACTGACAACCACAAAATTGTTCATATGCATTTTGAAGAATACTGGATACAGAGTATCCTTGACTTTGAGATACTCTGCATGTTAGTGCTATGACCTAAGCAGATGGTCTCTACATGTAAATAGTTTGGCGTAATATGAATAGTCTATTTGACTCTCTTGCTTACCTCCTCTATCAGGGCAATCAGGTACAACTTGACCATTTGATGAAAAGACCATGAAGCTCAACAGGTAGTGAAAAATCAGCATGATTTAGGTTGAATGCTGCTGTTGTTTGTTTCTGGTAGTGGGAGTTCTACTCTCCCTTACTAGTTACATGCATGGCTGGCGACAACTGAGCCTAAACTGAACAGAACACCTGGCATCTTTTTAAAAAAATTGTGTTCCTAATATAGATTAATAGTTGCTGCAGTGCAAAAATTGTATCATTGTTGCATCATGACATAAATATAAATACAGCATACTCTACTATCTATGATCACGATGAATAATGCATTTTAATAAATTAATTTTAGGTGTGTATTGTACTGTGCACAAATTGATGATTGTGAAATAGTTGGCATTGTAATATTAGCATACTAATATAAATTATTAGCATAGATCTACTACTGCAGTTGATATCTATGGTTAGTTTGTGACAGTGACCAACTCAGTATTCTAATACCAGTATATGTATTACAATGCCAACTACCCCACTATCATCAATCAGTGCATGACACAGTACACTGATGAACACAAAAAAGAAATAAAAGTTAAAAAGAATTTATTTATAAAAAGCAAAAGATTTTAAACATTAAAACCCTTTAATTGTAGCTGCAAAATATTTAATTGATAAAAATATGTATTGAGCTCATTATAAAAAGTGAAAAATTAATATAAAACAAAACAGACAGCATAAAGTTAACATGTTTGAGACACATGAAGTGTTATAATGATAATGCATTAATCTATTGTTCAGAGGAAGAAGAGGATGAGGAAGAAGGTGATAAAGGACAGTCTCTAAGCTCATCAACATATTCATAAAGAGCATTCTTATCTCCTGGCAACTCTGTTGTTGTGGTAACTGCCTGGTCTATTTAATTAACTGTAATATAATAACATTTAATAACCACACATCCTCCATATAAATAATCCTGCAATCATCTAATTTGTGAGAATCAATTGTAGTCTTCACTCGTTCGTTCTCTCTCTTCCGTTCTCCTACAATTCACTTCAGTTTCATTGGTAGCGTGAGCTACATTGTTTATTCATTCCTTATTATTTGATTCCATATTGCTTGATTCTATATTGTATGCTTCTTTCTGTATTGATTGTGAATTTCCTCTTATTCTCTCTCTTTCTTTATTCATACAGTGTGTTATTCTTCTTCTTTTGTTCATCCCTACTCTTACTTCTTTATTTTTATTGTGTATGTCCTTCTGTCTGTCTCTGTTTTCTTATTGTGTGTAATTGTTTTTATTTTATTGATTTTGAGACTAGGCAAATATACAACAGTTGTCAGCAATACTTTCGATATCTATCAATGTTAAAAATAAATTGTTTCTGTAACTGAAGAATTGATGTACCTCAGGATCAAAGTTAAAATCATAAGGGTCTTTCTGATGCTGTAGAAGACTGTGTATGA